GTGTGATTCACAAGTTCAAAAAACTGAGGTATTTGTCTGTGGCATGCTCAAGCCCTGGAGTAGGCCCGGGATTCTGAAACATGAAGCGTTCCTCTTGTAAAGGAGGATGGAAAAGCTCCGTAAACTCAACAAGCCAAAACAACAGTTTACCTGTCGGAGGAGGACCCTACGGCCGGTCACAGAGGAGAAGGGGGGGGGGGAGGGAGGGAGGGGGAGAGGGATAGGGAGAGGGAGAGGGGGAGGGGGAGGGGAGGGGGGAGAGAGTAAGAGAGAGTAAGAGAACGAACACGAACAGGGTATTGATATTTATGGGCTTAACACAGGATGAGGAGGAGCAAGGCGAGTGGGCTGTTACTTCTTCATTGGCTGAGAGTTCTCGCCATTCAAAGTTCGCGCCGTTCACAGGGATTGGAGGTGATGGTTCGTGCGCCTTCAGTGCGTCATGGACCTGAGCTCCCAGAAGAGAAGTGCTCCGGGCGCCATCTTTCCTGAGCTCCCGGAAGAGAAGCACTCTGGGTGCCATCTTTACCAACACCTCTGAATTGCTCTTGAAGGGGCCCCAGTTCAGCTCTTCCAGTGGTCTCCCAATCTTGTTTTGTAAAGGAAGAATGTTGACCAATTTCAGCTGGAAACTAAACCTCCAGGTTGTTTCTTCCCTAAAAAAAAGGATAGTATTTAAGAACAAGGGTCCAGGCACAAACAAGGGTAAAATAGCTTGTGAACTCACTGAATTCTTCTCTGAATCATCTTACATATATCTGTGGCCAATTTAGCTCCCATATTCAGCCAAATTAAATTGTTTGTAATCATTTGGCTCCCTCCCAGCCTGGGGGTCTCTGATCTCTGGCTTTTCCTTGGAAAGGAGAGAGAGGCGGGGATGTTTGCAAGCTTTGGCTCCCTGTGTTTCCAGCAGGGGAGCTATGGAACTGGTAGGCTGGCTTGGGCCAACAGTGAGATATGTGCCCAGAGCAGATCCAACACCCAACATGATCACCTGTGGCAGCTGTCACAGGGAAGACCCTATTGTACATAGGAGCAGGAGAGGTTCATCCCTCCCATCCATAGGCTGTAATTACCTCCTCAACTCAGGGCTCAGATCTGCAAGAATGCCTCTTGCAGCTGGGCCCCTCAGAATGTCAGAAGCCAACTTTGCACAGTCTACACCAGGCTATGTCTGAGCCAGGGAGCAAGAAAGCCTGCCTGACAGAAATGCAAGGGGATCCTGAACAGGTCCACCTCTCAGGCACTCCATCCTCCTGTCAACTTCCCACACTGATTGCCTCCTCCAGGAGCCATCCCCACAACCCCTTCAATACAGACAGAGCAGTAAGTGACTGGTTTCTTCAGGCCTCAGAGCTATGGAGTCACATGAACACTAGTAATGAAAATTCCACTAGCTCTTCCACAGGACCTTCAGTCCCAGGGCCACAACTGACACACACAATGCTTCGTGTGAATTAGAAAGATAAAGCCTCTCTAGGCAGACGAACATTTGAAGATCCCCCCTCTGAATGGAAAAAGCAGGAACAGGTCACCATTTATATCTTTGTCTAGGCAGCCTTGGGTGCAGCAAAATTTATACATCTTTATATGTGGCCCTGAATGAGACCTCTTTCTAACCCTTTTCAAGGGCTCTGAGTGTTTTCCAGAGTATGGGCATTGTGATTCCTTCCTGTTCCAGCCCCCTTGTTTGATAGTCTCTTCTGGTCCTAGGCACTGCCCCCTTATCCTCAATTCTGTCCCCTTTGAGGCCAGTGGAGAACATTTCACCTCTATTGGTACCTGCTATGGGGTGCTAATGTCCTGCCCCAGAGGTGACCTCTTGGTGCTCTCAGAATGGCCAATCCTTGAGATACCATGCCCTTAGCACCTTGGCATGAAGTCAGTACTGCTGGAGGCCACATCATACAGAACTGGTTCCTATGACAGTTGTCTACAGGACTCTCTCCACAAGGCAACAAATCCTCGGGACCAGGCCAAGGAAGGTCACTGTCCAAGATTAATATCATGTGGCCTCCCCATTCCAGCTCCTTCCAAACCTATGGCAAACAAAATTGCCTGCTGAGGCCCCACCCATCAATGTGTGGGTCACACCTTACCCATGGGAGTACTGGTTGAATCCCTTAATTCAGAGATGAGGTTGCTGGTGCCCTGAGCACTGGACTTGCAACAAGAAGCTGACAGCATCCAAAGCCTACTCTATTCTTCCTCCATGGGTGAATCTCACTGCCACTTTGTTTCTTGTGTAAAACAAGCACAATCACCAAAAGTGGGGAACTCTCTAAAATTCTTCAAGATCTGCTTAGAACACAGTACTAGCTGGGATAATGCTAGAGTAAAACAGACAAATTTTGTACTTCCTAATACCTAGATAACTTATTTAACTCTGCATCTTGCCTTGTTTCTCAACAGCCCTGCCATATAATTGCTTATGTTCTCAGCTTGTGGTCTATTCTGACTTTTAGGTTCTCTTCTGCCAGATGCAGAAAAGTTGATAACTGGTATCTCCCCATTCAGCATGTGCATTTGTTACATGTATCAGGGTGAAAATTCTAGGTCAGGCTATTTCCAACATTTTCAGAAGACCATAAAAAGTAGGGTGCTTCTGCAGAAAAGAAGCAGTATATAGTCCAGAAAGGAGTTTCCATTGAACTGGAGAAAGAGAAACCCAGGTCCTTAGAGAGTTCCCTAGTACCTGTCAGAAACAGCTACTGTGAGATGCAACTGGGCAGCAGCAAGCAGCCCCCAGTCCTGGGCCAATGCTTCTTTTAACCCTCTTCTTCCCTTTCTCTTGATAATACAAGTTGGTTTGGTTAATTATACTTCCTTCTCATTGATCCTTCAACCTTAAGATACCTAATCATTGGTAAATTCAACATGTAGATGCTGTTCTGATTGGCCGATCTGCTGCTAGGGTTTAGCAAGCATGGTGATGCTGCTTTTCCAGATTCAGTATCCTTTCTGGTCCTAGGCACAGGCCCATCATCCCTAATTCTGTCCTCCTTGAGCTTCATCCTATCCCCAAATAGTCCCTCCTCCTTCTGTGGTTGCATAGTAAACAAGCAATCAATCCAAGTGTTCCCTGGAGACCCAGAGGTTTTCACCTCTGGAGTGATTGGCCTGCTAAAGCTTGATTTTTGTATGATCCATGATGATAAAAGTAGTGAAATCAGCCTTTGCACAATCCAGAATGCACACAAAGCGCAAGATCATAGACCAATAGCTAGATCCATCTAAGAGGCACTGATACAGATAGATATAGCTATTTTTTGTACTTTTTTATTGGTGTATTATAATACATAACAGTGGAATCTGTTGCTACAAATTTGTACATGCACACAATACAACAATGGTTCTCCAAAATGTCCATGTCCTAATCCACGGAACCAGTAAATCTGTTACCTTATGTGGCAAGGACCTGGCAGATGTGGTTAAGGTCCAGGACCTGAATATGGAAAGGTTATCCTCTATTATCCCCAATAAGCCCAATCTAATCATATGAACCCTTATAAAAGCAAAGAAATTTTACTGTCTGTGTCAGAGAGAGATGTAACAATGAAAGCCTGGCTTTGAAGAAGGAAGAAGGGGACCATGAGACAGGATGCCAGTAGATGCCTCAAAAAACTGGAAACAAACAAACTGGACATAGCGGTGCACACCTGTAATCCCAGTGGCTCAAGAGGCTAAAGCAGGAAGATCACAAGTTGAAAGCCAGCCTAAGAATTTTAACCAGGCCCTAAGCAACTTAGTGAGACTCTGGTTCAAAATAAAAAATAAAAAGGGCTGGGGATGTGCTCAGTGGTTAAACACCTCTGAGTTCAATCCTCAGTACCAAAAAAACAAACAAACAAAAAACTGGAAACAAATTTTCCCAAAGGGCCTCCAGAAAATAAAAAGCTCTTCCAATACCTTGGTTGGCCCAATGAGACCCATGTCAAATTATGGATCTATCAAAATATAAGATAATAAATTTGCATCATTTTCAACTATTAAGTTTGTGTTGTTACAGAAGTAATAGGAAGTTACTATATCCTTCCCTTGGAGATTCATGCTGCACTTTGGCATATTAAGGGGCCTAGGGAGCTGTTCATTTAACTACACATTTCAGAAACAATTGAATATAAAACACTTATTCCCCTGTAATATCTCTTGGCATCTTAGAACATGATGTGGAAAATACCACACAATAGCATTAACTGTTAGTCACATTTCAGTATGATTTAATTTCTATGTTTCATTATGGTGGTTAAGTGGTGGTTAAGGACAGGTAAGTTTTGATGGGCCTGCATAGAGTTCCAAACAGTTAAGACCTGAGTGGGGAAACTCACGGGACAGTGGTAAATACAGAAGAGGTAGATGTGTACTATAGATATACTTCACAACAGAGCACCCTCTGCTCTTCTGTCTCCCTTTCTTACCTACTTCTGTTTCCCTCTAACACAATAATCAAGGGATTCATTCTGATTGTGATCTGTTGTACCATAGTTTATGAAACTTCTGACTAGGCTACAAGAAAGACTGAAATCAAAAGAACAAATGGTACTCTTCCAAGATAGTTTAGAAGAAGTGGTGCAAATTGAGTTGTAGAGGTGACACCTTAGGGGAAGGAAACGTAATGCGAAAACAGTATTAATGTAAGGTTAAAAAAAACAAAATGAGCCATAGCACCATGAATTACAGAACTAGGCTGCAGCACCTGAGAGTTTGGCCAAATGCATTTACTCAAAGACACTTCCCAAACGCCAAAGAAATTCTGGTGCTTAAAGTATCTCTCACTCGGTTCAGAGGTCCATCTTAGAGCTCGGATGCAGAGCTCACCTGCAACAATTTGTAGTGCCTGCCGCACCTGGGCGGCTATGGATCTTGTAAACTACAACTCCCGTTGTGCACTGCGATCACGCGGGCTATATCCGGGGTGAACTACAAGTCCCGTAATGCCTTGGGAGAGAGGCGAGCAGGGAAGAGTAGAGGGGCGTGGCCACGTTAGCCGCGCAGGACCGTTAAATTTGAAACTTGGCGGCTAGGAATGAGGACGTGAAGCGGTCGGTTTGTGAGGGAGTTCGGTGAATGCTTTTGTCCTGGAGCACCCCTGGTCCCTTGGGTAGCTCTAGGGGCAGGTTTCTGAAGGAAGCCCAGACGGTTGGCGGTCCTGAGGAAAGACCGAGAGCGAGAGCATGAGCCGGGAACGCCGGATGGCGGCGACGAAGGAGGGGGTAGCTCTTAGGTAGGTATGGGAGAAAAGCTGCTGGGAGCTGTTTCTGCGATATCCGAGGGTGCCTGGCAGGTGCAGAGGCTTGGCGTTGAGGACCCACGGAACCGCCTTCCTGTTGGATTCAACGCAGCGGGTGGCGAAGCTGCGGTTCGAGCACACGTGAGAATCCTTTGGCGTCCAGCTTCAAAGCGAAGGAGTCTGTGCGGCCTCAGTCGGGTCCACACAGGAGCTTGCGATTTGTAGTGTCGTCTGTGTGTCTCAGTTTGACCGTTCGCTAGCTGTTTGCCTCGGACACGTCTTAGATAGGGAAAATGCACATATTAATGCCACCTTACGGGTTCCTGGGAGGACTCAAAAGTATTTGTAAAGTAACTGCTTCCAGATAACTAATACTAGATGTTATCATTTTGCCAGTAGCATAGAGATCTAAAAAGCCCTTGCCTGCACATTTGTTGCTTTTGTTTTATAAGAAAATATACCAGTTCTAGGCTGGGATTAAGTATGCCTTTACCTTATGGAATTCACAATACCTGGATAAGCGCAAAGTCGAGAGTTCTTAACCGAAAACAAATGTTTACTGACTACTTACTAGGCATTGCGTGCAACCAGTAAACAAAAGAAATAAAAATCCCAACCCTCAGGAAGCTTAAGTTCTGGGTAGGGATGATGGTGGGCAAGACAGACAAACAAGAGAAATTAAAAATTAGTTGGTGGGTAGTACTAAAAAAATAAATAAATAAAAAGATAGGGAGTGTTGGGAGTGGGAGTTAGCAAATTTTTTAAAATAAGTTTGAACCAAGGCCGCCTCCTTGAAGGAAATTTCAAGATCTAGTCATGCCTATATCTTGGGTGAAGCACAAAGGCCCCAGAAGAGGGTTAGGGGAGGAAGCTGCCCTGTACAAAGCCAGTGTCATTGTAGCACAGTAAACCAGGATAGTAGAGAAGGAAATCAACCCCAAGAGGTGAAGATGCAGACATTTTAAAGGCTTGGGTTTTGCTGTGATTGTAATAGAAAATCACTGGAAGGTTTTTTTTGTTTTTTTGTTTTTGCTATACTAGGGATTGAACCCAGGGGTGCTCTATCACCCAGCCCTTTTTATTTTTTAATTAGAAAAACAATTTGAGACAGATTTTTTGCTAAGTTGCTGAGGCTGGCCTGCAACTTGATTTCTGTCCCAGGTTGCTGGGATTACAGGTGTGCGTCACAGCACCAGGTTCCTTGGAAGGTTTTGAGCTTGGTTTTGACTTGGGTTTAAATGGAACACTTTAGCTGCAGTGTTGAATAGACTAAAGGCAGAAAAGATGGAAGCAGGGAAACCAATTAAGACCTTATTGAGGGGCTGGGGATGTGGCTCAAGCGGTAGTGTGCTTGCCTGGCATGTGTGCGGCCCGGGTTCGATCCTCAGCACCACATACAAAGATGTTGTGTCTGCCGAAAACTAAAAAATAAATATTAAAAAATTCTCTCTCTCTCTCTCTGTTTTTTTTTTTTTTTAAAAAAAGACCTTATTGAAATAATCCTGGAAAGAGAAGAGGGTGAGCAAGACTGAAAACTGGAGATGTTAAGAATTTATTGATTGTTAAGAATTGATTTCTGCATGTATTTTGAAGGGAGAGACTACAGGATTTAATGATTGACAGCAGTGAGCAGGGCAACAAGGCTGGTACTAATTTTTGGCTTAAGCAACTGGAAAAATGGAATTGCCATTTATTTGAGATGAAGGAAGACTAGGAGGTCTTGGAAAAAGCAGGAAGAGGGAGAGGACAGGCCTAGCTCAGTTTGGGACATTGAGGTAGAATAATCCACTTTTTTTTTTTTTTTTTTGGTAGTACTGGGGAATGAACTTGGCTTTGTGTGTGCTAGGCAAGCTCTGCCACTGAGCCCACCCTGTTCCTTTTCCACCCCCCTCAGGAGTGGGCATTGAACCCAAGGCTTCATTTATGCTAGGCAAGCACTGTACCACTGAGCTACATCACCAGCACCTTTTTATTTTGAGACAGGGTCTTCCTAAGTTGCTCAGGCTGACTTCAAACTTGTGATCCTCCTGCCTTAGTCACCACTGGAATTACAGGCCAGTGCCATTGTGCCCATATAAACTTTATTCTTGCAATACTATCTACAGAACCCTTGCCAAATTCCCTCTTCCATTAGGCAATATTACAGCCATAAACTTGGACACCAGGTGACAGGCTCAGAAGCTTAGAAGTGTAACACTATGACACTACTAATGTGCTAGCTCATCATATTCAACCCAGAGATAATGAATACTCATCAGAAAACATTTATAATCTACTGCTATAATAAATCAGTGTTGGTTTCAGACATAGTTTTGTTTCCTCCTCCTCAGTGAAGCCATGTCCCTGGAAGGAGATGAATGGGAGCTGAGTAAAGAAAATGTACAACCCTTAAGGCAGGGACGAATTATGTCCACTCTTCAGGAAGCTCTGGCACAGCAAGAATCTGCCTGTAACACAACACTTCAGCAGCAGAAATGGTATGTAAAATGCTTTGGGCTCAATCTGTCATTATTCATCCGTAATTGTAATACAGGTGTGGATCCATGAAGGATGTCATAAGGAGTATTTTTAAAAATTTGGTGGTTGAAGAATCTGTTCCCCAATAACTTATTATACAATAGCTCTTGAAAGAGCTTCTCAAGGACTTATTTTAAGAACAAGGGGGCTCAGTGGTGGACCGCTGGCCTAGCAGGTGTGAGGCAATGGGTTTAATCCTCAGCACCACATAAAAATAAATAAATAATTGGGGGGGTGCAGATAAGGGCTATAGGATTTCATTTGGTTGTGGATCACCCAAACTCTGTTATCAACAAAAATAAAATTTATATGGGGGCAATGATAAACATAAAGTAAGCAAAATGTTACAAGGTTTCCCATAAGTATTATACCATTCTGGATTCTTAAACAGAATTAATTCATTGATGGTAATCAATCAAAGAGATTGCTTCCTTGGATTCTGAGTAATAATGACTCTACTTTTTTTTTTTGTAATATTGGGGATCCAACCCAAGAGTTCCAATATGCTAGATAAATTTCCTACCAATGAGTTCAACCCCTAGCCAGAATCTCCTTTTTTTTGTACTGGGATTTTGAACCCAGGGAATGCTTTACTACTAAGCCACTTCCCCAACCATTTTTATTTTTCGAGACAGGGGATCACTAAGTTACTTTACTTAGGGTTTTTTTCTCCGTTTCCCAGGTGGGCCTTGAACTCGAGAGCCTCCTCAGTCTATAGATTCACTGGAATTACAGGTGTGCACTAGCACACATGGCTTGAATCTGCTATCTTTTTTTTTTTTTTAAGAGGAAGTGTCATTTATTTATTTATTTTTGGTACTGGGGATTGAACTCAGGGGTGCTCAACCATGAGCCACATCCCCAGCCCTATTTTGTATTTAGAGACAGGATCTCATTGAGTTGCTTAGCGCCTCGCCATTGCTGAGGCTGGCTTTGAACTCATGATTCTCCTGTCTCAGCCACCCGAGCTATTGGGATTACAAGTGTGTGCCACCGTGCCCAGCAAATCTGTTATCTTTTATGTGTAACTCATTAGAAAATTTCTCAAGAATGACAAACTCTGGAAAAATAAAAGCTAAAAAATACTCTTACATTACTCAAAAGACTTATGGGTTTTTCTTTTGTCTACTAATACATGCTTTGATAAATGTGCTTTTTTGTTTGTTTTTTAAAGTTAAACTAGAATATCTGTTTTTACCAGTTCTGCCAACTGGCAAATTAGAATTTTGGGTATAATGTAATGAGCATCCTTATTCATTTCTTTGGTCTTTTTTATTTGTTTGAGTTGGGGTTTTCCCTATTGCCTAGGATGGCCTTGAACACATTCTCCTGCTTCATTGGCCCTAGTCACTGGGATTATAGGCCACGCATGTACCATCTTCCCTGTCTTTCATTGGATCTTTAAAAGCATTATGTTTTATGATTTTTGTTTCAGAAATGGTGGTATTTTATTCTTTATGTTCTTCCCTGGTTTCTGTGATATTATCCTAGTTTTTCCACTTCTCTAATTATTCTCCCTTTTTTCTTGAAGACTTTCAACTGTTTCTCACATAAGTCTCTGTTGTTTGCCCTCTGTATCAATACATATTCATATCTTCTAGGATTGCTTAACTATTGACAATTCTTTCTTCTAACTATCCTTTTGTCTGTCTATAACATAAACAGATGTTCCTTGATTTACGATGGTTTGACTTATGATTCTTCAACTCTATGAACTCTAAAACAATATGTGTTCAGTTGAAACCATACTTTGATATTTTCGTGGGCTCTGTGTATGCAGTACAACTGTATTCCGATGCTGGGCAGCAATAGTGAGCTGCAGCTCCCAATCACAACCTATACTCTACAGTGCATTGTGTTGCTAAACTATGATGCTTGGTAGATATTTTCAGCTCATGTTTATTGGGGTGTAACACTATTGTAAATAGTCAAGAATTATTGATAATTAGATAAATGTTTCAGTTAATGTAGGAAGCACTCTCTCTTCTCTCATAAGTGACCTTCCTTTTTCTTCTCCATTTTGGTTAATAGTATCAAAACTCACATGAATGGTTCAACTCATTGCTCTCATCCTAATTTTATTTAGTTGGTCATTATGGACTGGTGATTCTTTTAATTTGTATTTTTGGGGGCCTTCCGAATGCTAAGCTTGTGTTATGTGCTCTAACACTGAACCAGCCCTGGAGATTTCTTTTTTTTTTTCTTTCTTTCTGGTATCAAGGATTGAACTCAGGGGTGCTTTAGCACTGAGCTACATCCCCAGATCTTTTTTATATTTAGAGACAGGGTCTTGCTGAGTTGCTTAGGACCTCACTAAGTTGCTGAGGACTGACTTTGAACTCTTTTTTTTTTTTTTTTTTTTTGAGAAAAAGGAAAAAGAAGGTTTATTGCTTTGCTAGCAAAGGAGAAACACAGGGGACTCCTGTCCCAAAGGTTGTTACTTTTTTTTTTTTTTTTTAAGAGAGAGAGAGAATTTTCTAATATTTATTTTTTAGTTTTCGATGGACACAACGTCTTTATTTTTACGTGATGCTGAGGATCGAACCCAGTGCCCCGCACATGCCAGGCAAGCGCTCTACTGCTTGAGCCACATCCCTAGCCCAGAATAGGTTTTTTGTTTGTTTTTGTTTTTTAATTTTTTATTCTAATTTGTTATATGACAGCAGAATGCATTATAATTCATATTACACATAAAGAGCACAATTTTTCAAATCTCTGGTTGCATACAAAGTATATTCACACCATTCATGCCTTCATACATGTACTTAGGGTAATGATGTCCATCTCATTTCATAACTCTTGATCCTCTTCTTGCCTCAGCCTCCCAAACCAAGCCACTGGGATTATAGGCTTGCACCACTGTGCCCAGCTGGAGATTTCTTTTTTTATGTGGTGCTTTTTTTGTGTGGTGGGATTGAACCGGGGCCTTGTGCATATGCGGCAAGCACTCTACCAACTGAGCTATATATCCCCAGCCCTGGAGATTTCTTTCTTTCTTTCTAATATTTTTATTACTTGTTGATGCAATTTTTAAATTTTATTTATTTATTTGTATGTGGTACTGAGAATCAAACCTAGTGCCTTACATATGCCAGGTAAGCGCTCTACCACTGAGCCACAATCCCAGCCCTCTGGAGATTTCTTTTAAGTATAATGTACATGCAGTGAAATGCTCAGATTTTTATTTATTTATTTATTTATTTATTTATTTGAATTGGGGATTAAACCCAGTGGCATGTACCATTGAGCTACATCCCTAGACATTATTTGGTGTTATCAGTCTTTCATTTTAGCCATCATAGTGATGTGTAGTATTTCACTATGGCTATACTTTTCATTTCCCTGGTGATTAGTGTTAGTGAGTCTGTTCACCATCTGTTCAGACATTTTGCCCAGTTTTTAAATTATTAATTTATGAGAGGGTCACTGGAGATTGAACCAAAGGGGGCTCTCCCACTGAGCTATATTTCCAGTCTTTTATATTTTTTATTTTGAATCAGTTGCAGAGGACTGCCTCAAACTTTCTTGCCTCAGCCTCCTGAGTAATGGAGTTCTTTATGTACTCTATATAAGTCCTTTATCAAATATGTGCTGCAGATGTTTTTTCCTAGTTCTAAATTTTCTGTTCATTTTTTAACCACAAAATTTTTAATTTTGATGAAATTCAATTCGTGTTTTTTATGGGCTAGTGCTTTTTGTGTCCTGTTATGTTTTTCTCCTTCAAAGTCATAATTATTAGCCTTATTTCATTTTCTTAACTTTTATGTTTAATTGTATGATTCATGCTAAATTTATCCCTGTGTATGGTGTATGTTGGAGTAAAAGGTTTTTATCCTGATGTGGAAGCTGTCTGGTTGTTCTACCTCCATTTGTTAAAGAAAGTTTTTTTTCCCTTTCCTTATTGAATTGCTTTGGGGACCTTGTCAAAAATCATTTGACTGGGGCTGAAGTTGTGGCTCAGTGGTAGAGCTCTTTGCCTAGCATGTGTGAAGCACTGGGTTTAATCCTCAAATAAGTAAGTAAGTAAATAAATAAATAAATTTATTGTGTTCATTTACAACTAAAAATTTTTAAAAATCATTTGAGGATTGAGGATATAGCTCAGTGATGGAGTACTTGCCTAGTTATGTACAAGTCCCTCAGTTCAATCCCCAGTACTTGGGGGAAAAAAACACATTGACCACATATGTGTGGGTTGTTTCTGGACTCTGTTATGTTGCATTGATGTTGACTTTGTAGCTTTTGACAAATGTTATTTATGTATGTATGTATCTATTTATTTATTTATTTATTGCAGCACTGGGGATTGAACCCAGGGATGCTTTCCTACTGTGCTAATCAATAGAACTCCCCCTTATTTATTTTGAGACTGTACTGTCTCACCAAGTTTTAGCCCAGGTAGGTCTCAAACTTGTGCTTCTCCTGCCTCAGTCTCCAAAATCATTGGGATTACAAGTGTAGCTTTTCCAAACAAATTTTAAAATTATCTTGTTAATTTCTAGTAAAGAGTCTGCTGAGATTTTGCTAGATTTTCTTAAATCCATAGATCAATTTGGGGAATTTCTGATTTGTTTTTTTGTGGTATTGATGATTGAACCCGGGGACTGCTGATTGAATTACTGAACTACATACATCTCCAGCTCTTTTTTAAAATTTTTTATTATATAGAGATAGGGTCTCACTAAATTGCCGAGACTGGCATGGAGTTTACATTCCTTGTGCCTCAGCCTCCAGAGTCTCTGGGATTAAAAGTGTGTGTCACTGTGCCTGTCATCATCTTTGTTATTTCTATTCTTTCTGTTTAACAAACCCTCATATTCTAGTACAGTTATCTAAATCATGGAAGCGACACTTGTTAATTGTTATGTATATTACACGTGTTAACATGTTTTGCTTAAATTTCAGGGCATTTGAATCTGAAATTCGATTTTATGCTGGAAATGACCCTCTGGATGTTTGGGATAGGTGGGTGCTTTTATTTTTTAAAAAGGTGACAGAAATATTAGATGAAGTTCTTATGACTATATTTCTAAAATTGGGGTGTAAGGAATGGAAAGTGAATAGTCAGAATAGAAAGTGGTATGGGGGCACAGAGACCCAGAATAGTCATAGTGTGTCTTCCTGAGGGTTTTTGTTTATTGGTGATGGGGATATAACCCAGGACTTCACACATTAGGCAAGTGCTCTACCACTGAGCTACCCTTCCAGTTCCCCTTAATATTGAAGAAATGTACAATTTAGGGTATGCAACTTTGAGCTATACCTTTCTGTCCCTATCCCCAGTATTTCCCAGAAGCACATATTAGGGATACTTGGGGAAATGTAGTCTTAGGATGTGCCTTTGAGGATCTCTCAAGAAACATACCTTCAACATTTTAGATATTTTTGCTTAAAAAAATCAAGAATTAGTATTGGAGCCAGAACAAAAGTATACATTCAACTTGAAATATGTTCTTTTCAATGGGGCTGGGGCTGTAGTTCAGTGGCAGTGCACTTGCCTAGCACATGTGAGGCACTGGGTTCAATCCTTATCACCACATTAAAAAAATGAAACAAAGGCATGTTGTCCATCTACAACTACAATTTTTTTTTTAATGTTCTTTTCCTTTTCTTTCTATTCAGGTATATTAATTGGACAGAACAAAACTATCCTCAAGGTGGGAAGGAGAGTAACATGTCAACATTATTAGAAAGAGCTGTAGAAGCACTACAAGGAGAAAAATGTTATTATAGTGATCCTCGATTTCTCAATCTCTGGCTTAAATTGGTAAGTCTTTCTCAAGGCACTGAGTTTAAAATATTAAACCAAGAGATTGTCTCTAGAGGTTTATAGTATACAAAAACAGTGGTAAAACATGAGCCACTTAGGAGACAGTAAACATTTAACAAATATCTGGTATGTGTTAAATTGGTTCCACTTAAAGATGGACTTAAATATAGCATAATGAGGTTTTGTACCCCTGATCACACCTGTCCCTCTTTTTTAGCTGTAGATGGATATAGCAACATCTATATTTATTTATTTATTTATCTATTTATTTGGTGCTGAGGATGGAACCCAGTGCTTCACATGTGCTAGGCATGTGCTGTACTACTGAGCCATAACCACAGCCCTGATCACACAACCTTTTAAGACTGATCATAAAGTATGTAGATCTCTCAATGGATTTGAGTTATTTGCTTGTTTATTCTAAACAAAATTGGGTCATGCAGCTGTACTGGAGAAGGATATGCAGGAAATACTTGAGAGTACAATTGTTTGGGGAAAAGCTTCCTGGGTGATTCTGATATCCCTTTCTCTCCTTTATGAAAATCATTACCATTAAAAGAGTGATGTCTTTTGGATTGGGGTTGTGGCTCAGTGACAGAGCACTTGCCTCGCACATGTGAGGCAGTGGGTTCGATCCTCAGGACCACATAAAAATAAACAAAAATATTGTGTCCATGTAACTAAAAAAATATTTTAAAAAGTGATGTTTTAGTGTTGTGTTGGTTTTTGGACTTTCGCCTTGTATATTGCTATGGCCAAAAATGTCCACTGACCACATTGTACCATCTCACTTGACATATATTTCTTTTATTTCTAGAATACTCTTGAGAGTTTGTTTCATGAAAACATTTTTCATAAGTTAATGACAATTTTTCTTAGATATTGATTTCTTTGCTTTTATCCTAAAAGAAATTAGGTAAAAGGAAGCAATAAATATTTAGAATGTTCACAGATACTGTAATAAAATATTGGAAACTGATAAAATTTCTGACTAAAATCTTTTTTTTTTTTTTTCCTGTGTACTGACAATTGAACCTAAGGGTCTCTTACATGCTAGGCAAGTGCTCTACCTCTGAGCTATATCCTGAGTCTTTTATTTTTTATTTGATATAAGGTCTTACTAAGTTGTAAGACCTTATATCAAATAAAAAGGCTGGCCTTGAACTTGAATTCCTCATGCTTTAACCTGCGGAGTGGCTGGAATTACAAGCATGTTTCATGGCACCCAGCTTAAAATATCTCTCTTGAGGAATATTATTTAAATTTCCAAAATTACAAGTATAGGAAATTAAGTGAATCTTGAAGGCATAATATATCTTGATTTCTGCAGGACATTGACAAGTTGCCTGGTATGTATCACTATGCCCAGCTTAAGCTTTATATAGTGACAGGTATCAGGGACTGTATCTTAACTGATAATACTCTGAATTATAACTTAAACATATGAGGGAAAAAAATCACTAATTTGGATAAATAAGGAAACCCCATTTACTGAATTACTGCAAAACTAAGCGATGTAATATTGTTTTTTTTCAGGGATATAAGGGGAACATTTCATTTATTCAACATTCTTATTAAACCCTGGACAGGGACTGAGTGGTTTTTTTGTTTTTTGCCTTTGTGGAACCTGGTTTATTGGAGAAGACAGATTTTGAAACATTCATTCTAAGTGTTACAAAAGGAAAAGTACTGAGTCTGTGGGAACACATATTAGTAGGACTTAATTTAGGTTAGATAATCCAGAAAAACTAGACATGAAAGCAGACTTCTTTCTAGCAAAGAATCAGAAATGGCAGTCTCTTTAATGAAAAACTCCTACATTAGAATGCTGAAATTCATTTTTTCCCCCTGAGGTACTGGGGATCAAACCCAGGGCCTCACACATATAAGGCAAGCACTTTACTAATGAGCTACATCCCCTCCCCTTTTAAACATTTTAAAAAATTTGAGAAAAGGGTCTTGCTAAGTTGTACAGGCTGGCCTGGAACTGCCTCAGCTCCCGAGTAGCTGGGATTATAGGTGTGTAGCACCATGCCCAGCTCTTAGTCCTTTTATTTTGAGACAGTTTCTCACTAAGTTTCCCAGGGTGACCTCTAACTTAGAATTCTCCTGAGCAGCTGAGTTTGTAGGTGTGTACCACTACACCCAGCTTAAAATACCATTTTTATATGAAATTAGGAACTGTCTTTAGTTTCTAATGTTGATAAGAATCTGGTGAAATTAGTAAATTGTGACTTACTAAATTTTAGCATTTTTAATTTTAATAATCCTCTTAGAAACTTGTTACTTTACACATAGTTCTAGGAATTTATCCTAAGGGACTAAAGTCAAAAGTGAAAGGTTGTATTTATGAAGATATTTTAGAATTATTTATAATTGGGCAAAAGTTGTTGAAATATCCAGTAATAGTGAATAATTAAATTATGGAGCGTCTTCTAAATGGAACCCTATGCATTCATTTAAAAATAATTTAGAAGAGGTGGGCATGGTGTCATATACTTATAATCCCAGCGATTTGGAGGCTGAGACGAGGATCACAATTCAAGGCCAGTCTAAGCAACTTAGTGAGACCATGTCTCAAAATAAAAAATAAAAAGATCTGGGGAAATGCATCAGTGGTAAAGCACTCCTGGCTTAGATCCCCAGTACCTAAAATAATAATAACAACAACAATAGAGAATAAACAACATCATGGGAAAATTAATGATGAAAGAATATTCTGCTATGTATACTTTAACTGCTTGGAGTAGAGTATAAAAGTAGAGGTATACTCTACTTTTATACCTCTACTTTTACTTGTTTATAATTGTTTTGGTATTGTGTACTAGACCCAGCTGCCCAGATAACCCTTCAGAACCAAAGGACTTCCTTCCCCAACTGCTGGGAGTGCTGTTGGCTGACTATTCACAGCTGTTAGCTCTCTTTTGTAATTTCCCCTAATGAAGAGCCCTGCCTCACCCCAGGTCATGCCCACTCACTGGGGCCTATAACCCTGGACTGCTCCATGTAGAGATACAAAGACTTGATCTCCCCATCCCAACTGGAGAAAACCCTGTAGAGCCATCCTAACTCCAGACTTAACTCCTCATGTGGTCAACCTGTCTGCTTTGCAGCCCAGTACCTTCTGTATCCTCACTTCTTCCCAGATGTTGATCCCAACCACATTACTCTGTAAGCATGCCTACATGCCAACCTCCATTTCAGTGTCTGCTTTTAGGAAATCCGGACTTGCAATAGTGTTTCTGTTCTTTTCTGGTAGTGCATGCTCAAACTATGACTTAAGAAACTATTTTGTGATTGCTTAGTGTACTGACAAATTGTGTCTATATGACATCAGGCAAATAGACTATTCTGAATGTAAATTTGCTATTGTAAATATTGTTTATGTTAAGTGATATTGAACTTATTGCCAAAAAAGTTCAGATTTAAAAAAAAAAAAAAAAAAAAGAATGACTGGGCACAATGGTGCATGCCTGTAATCCTAGTGGTTTGGGAGGATGATACAGGAGAATCATGAGTTCATAGCCAGCCTCAGCAACTGTGAGGTGCTAAGCAACTCAGTGAGACCCTGTCTCTAAATAAAATACAAAATAGGGCTGGGGATGTGGCTCAGTGGTCAAGTATCTCTGAGTTCAATCCCCATCCCCCACAAAAAAAGAATGGTACAGTGTGAGTGGAATGAAATAAGATTTTATTATGATCAAAACTATGATTGTTAAAATGAAATATAAAAATGTTGGAGTTTTTATTTTTCTTCTTTGCTACTAGAATTGTATCTGCTTGTACAAAGTTATTTTTTTTCATTTTGGTGGTACTGAATTTGAATCCAGGACTTCACTAGGCAAGTGCTCCGCCACTGAGCTGCATCCCTAGACTTTGTTATTTTATTTTGAGATAGTCTAAGTTGCCCGTACTGGTCTGGAACTTGGAATCCTCATGTGTCAGCCTCTCAAGTAACTTGGATGATAAGTGTGGGCCACCTAACCTGACATAAAGTACCTTCTTAAATGCAGAGTTGACCAAGTCATTCATTTCTTTGCTTATAAGCTTTTGGTGTTTTTTGTTTTTTTTTAATATTTATTTTTTAGTTGTAGTTGAACACAATACTTTTATTTTAATTTATTTATTTTTATGTGGTGCTGAGGATCAAACCCAGGGCCTCACACTTGCTAGGCAAGCACTCTCCCGCTGAGCCAAAAACCCAGCCCAGTCTTTCTTTTTTTGTATTGCTTTACCACTGAGCCATATTCCATGTCATTTTTATTTTATTTTTTAATATATATTTTTTATTTGTAGATGGACGCAATATCTTTATTTTATTTTTATGTGGTGCTGAGGATCGAACCCAGTGCCTCATGTGTGCAAGGCAAGTGCTCTACCACTGAGCCACAACCCCAGCCCTCCTTTTAATTTTTTATTTTGAGACAGGGTCTCACTAAGTTGCTGAGGCTGGCTTTGAACTTGTGATCCTCCTGGCTCGGCTTCCCGAATCACCATGCCCAGCCTAAATATCACTGCTTCTTAAAGTCTTTCTTCCCCATTCCTTTTTCTTACAAATTAATTTCTTTCTTTTGTCTCTTTTGGGGCCTTCAAGCATGGTCCTTGCCAAATTTATATTGTAGTAAATGTGTTGGCACGTAACAGGCATTTCATAAATGGAAGAAATTGGCTAACTGTTAACACTTTTAATTTGTTTCAGGGGCATTTATGCAATGAACCTTTGGATGTGTATAGTTATTTGCACAACCAAGGGATTGGCATTTCGCTTGCTCAGTTCTACATTTCATGGGCTGAAGAATATGAAGCTAGAGAAAACTTTAAGAAAGCAGATGCAATATTCCAGGAAGGGATTCAACGGAAGGCTGAACCATTAGAAAGACTGCAGTCCCAACATAGGTAAAGTGCTTTTCTGTGGCTTGTCTTAACTCTTTTTTAAATTAAGAAATAAATGGTCTTTTTGCTTCTGAATGAAATGCTCCCTGATGTATTGGCAAGTTAAATTTACTTAGCTACTATTCATTTTTTTAGACATATTTTTTTACAGTAAAATCCATTCTTTGGTATATGGTTTTATGAGTTTTCACAAATGAATATACATTTAACTGTCACCACAATTAAGATATAGAATAGGGGCTGGGGTTGTGGCTCAGTGGTAGGGCGCTTGCCTCACATGTTCGAGACTCTGAGCTCAATCCTCAGCACCACATAAAAATAAATAAGTGAAATAAAGGTATTGTGTCCAACTACACTAAAAAATAAAATATTTTTAAAAAGGATATAGAATAGTTCCACACCCCCTAAGAGAATTCCCTGATGCTATTCCTTTGTAGTTGTTAATACCTAATCTTAACCTGAATACTAGCAAACACTTATCTATTCTCCAGTCCTATAGTTTTGCTGTTTCTAGAATGTCATATAAATGGAGTCATATAGTATATAGACTTTTGAGTCTCTCTTCTTTGATTTATAATAATGCTTTTGTGTTGTAAAGTTTCCTTATATATTCTAAATGCAAACCTTTTGTCAGATATGTTTTGATTTATAAATATTTTCTTCCAGCTATAGTCTTGCCTATTTATTCTTTAACTCTTAAAGAATAAAAGTGTGTAATTTCTTTTCTTTTTTTTTTTTTTTTTTTTTTGTACTGGGGATCGAACCCAGGAGCACTTAACCACTGACCCACAAACCCAGCCCATTTTATATTTTATTTAGAGACAGGATCTCCCTAAATTGCTTAGGGTCTCTCTAAGTTGCTGAGGCTGGCTTTGAACTCAGTCCTCCTGAACCACAGGGATTATAGGTGTGTGCCACCATGTCTGGAGTTTTAGATTCACCTTTCTGGAATTTTTATTAGGATTGCACATAAACATATTTTTTTCACTTTATTTAGGTATGATTTCTTTTAGTGAACTTTAGAAGATACTTTTTTTTCTAATCTTTAAAGAATTGGTCTATTTCATCTAAGTTCTCGAGTTTGTGGGCACAGAGTTGTTTATAATATTACTTTATTATCCTTTAAATGTCTACCAGGTGATGTAATATTCTCTTTCATTCCTGATAGTGGTAATTTGTATCTTCTCTTTTTTCTCACTCCAATAGAAGTTTATCAATTTTATTGATTGTGTCTCAGAACCTCCTTCTGGGATCACTGTTTTTCTCATTCTGATTTTCTGTTCTTTTCTTTCTTCTTGCTTGGTACAACTATTTCTTCTTTTTCTATTTTCAGGTAAAAGCTTAGATTAGATCATTGATTCTAATCCTTTTTTTCTCATAAAAGCCTTTAATGCTCTAAATTTCCCTCAGCTGCATCTCACGAGTTTTAATATGTCATGTTTTCATTTTCACTCAGAAGATTTTCTAATTTCTTTTGTGTCTCCTTTTTGACTTATGGTTTATTTAGAAATGTTATTTAATTAGAAAATGTTTTGGGGGTTTTCAGATAGCTCCCTGTTATTGATTTCTACTTTAATTGTTTAATTCCATTGTGATCAGAGAACATAATTTGTATGATTTTAATTCTTTTAAATTTGTTATGATTTATTTCATCATCTAGGATATGGTCTATCTTGGTTAATGTTCCATATACATTCAAAAAAACGTTTGTTTTGTAAATGTTATTTAAGTCAAGTTGATTGGTGATCTCATCTGACCTTTTGTATCTTTGTTGATTTCTCTCTTTACTTGTTCTAACAATTACAGGGAGGAGTTTTTTATTGTTGTTGTTGGGTTTTGTTTTGTTTTTGGTACTGGGGATTGAACCCCTGGGCGCTTTACCACTGAGCCACATCCCCAGCCCTTTTTACTTTTTGAGACCTGGTCTCGCTAAATTGCTTAGAACCTTACTAAATTGCTGACACTGGCCTGGAACTTGTGATCCTCCTGCCTGAGCCTCCCAATCCCTGTGATGACCAGCATGCTCCTGACCTGGGAGGACTTTTAAAGTCTCTTTAATTGTGATTTTTGCCTTTTTTCTTCTTTCAGTCCTATTAACTCTGCTTAATATAATGTGAAGTTATATTGTTAAGTACATACACATTTAGAATTGGCCCTTTATCCATTATATAATGACGCCTTTATCCCTGATTGTACTCCTTTATTCTGAAGTCTATTTGGTCTGGTATTTATTACAGCCATTCCAAAGCTGGGTGTAACTCAGTGGTATTGTGCTTAGCTGTATAAGGCCATGGACTCAAATCTCCAAAACCAAAATAAAAAACAAAGCCATTCCACCTTTCTTTTTGTTTGCATGATATATATTTTTTTTCATTCTAGTTTTTTGAAAGCTTTAGAGTTGTGCAGCCATCACCGTGATTAGATTTTTAGAACTTTTCTCTGTGTGGCCGGGGGTGCTAGGGCTCAAACCCAGGGCCTCCCTCATGCTTGGCAATGTTCAACCACTGAGCTATAACCCTCAGCCCTAGAATATTCTTAATACCCAATCCTTAATAGTCATTCCCCATTCCTAGTTTCCTAAGTTCCAGATAACTGCTAATCTGCTCTTTGTCTATGGATTTGTCTGTTCTAGACATTTCACATAAATGGAATCCTGTAATACATAGTCTTTAGCAACTGGCTTCTTTTATTTAGCGTATTTTCAAGGATCGTCATAGATTAACATAGTTGTGGCATGTATTAATTAATTTCTTTTGATTTCTGAGTGATATTTTATTTTATGGATGTACTACATTTTGTGTATCCATTAGTGGGCATTTGGGTTGTTTCTACTTTTCGGATATTATGAAATAATGCTTCTATGAATATTTGTGCCACAGGTTTTTAAATAGCTTTCCTTTTATTTGTATCTTTATGTTTTAAATGGGTTTCTTCTGTAGAGCAAATAGTTGAGTCTTGTTTTTTCCTTATCTGAAAATATGTCTCTTTTTTTGGTATGTTTAGACCATTTAATAGAATTATGAATAGTATTGGATTTAGGTCTACCATTTTCTTATTCATTTTGTTGTTTGTTTCCTCTATAGATTGTTTCCTACTTCTTTTGGATTATTTGAATATTAGTATTTAATTTTAATTTACTTTATTGACCTTTTGTCTGTTACTACTAATTATTTATTTATTTTGGTGCTGGGGATAGAACCGTGGAGCCACTTATTTTTATTTTTAATTTAAAAAAATTTATCTATTTTTTTATGTACCAGGGATTGAACTCAGGGATGCTTAACTACTGAGCCACCCCTAACCCTTTTTATGTTTTATTTTGAAAAGGTCTTGCTAAGTTGCTTAGGGTCTTGCTTAGTTGCTGAGGCTGGTTTGAACTTGCAATCTTCTTGCCTCAGTCTCCCAAACTACTGGGATGCATCACTGTCCCTGGTTCGGCCATTATTTATTTATTTATTTTAATATTTATTTTTCAGTTTTCAGAGGACACAACATCTTTATTTTATTTTTATGTGGTGCTGAGGATCGAACCCAGCGCCCCACGCATGCCAGGCGAGTGTGTTACCGCTTGAGCCACATCCCCAGCCCCAGCCACATCCCCAGCCCCTCGGCCATTATTTAAAAAAATACTTTTCTTCTTTTTCTTTTTGAATTTCTGTTACAAAAATTTTGATTTTACACACACCACCCCATCAGTACTGGGGATTAAATCAAGGGCTTCATGCATGCTAGGCAATAGCTCTACCACCAAGCTACATTCCATCCCCTTGCCAGGCAATTGCTCTGTCACTGAGCTACACCACCAGCCCTTTTTATATTTTTAAAAGTTTTGAGACACAGGGTTTCACTAAATTATCTGGGATGCCCTCCAACTTGCAATCCTCTTGCCTCTTCTGAGTACCAGTCTTTTTATTACCTTTGTTTTAATTTTTGCAATATTGGGGATTGAATCCAGGGTGCTCTACAACTGACTTATATCCCCAGCCTGACACAGGACCTCACTAAATTGCCAAAGTTTGCCTCAAACTTGTGATCTTCTCAGCTTCTTGAGTAGTTGGAATTACTGTCATGTGCCACCACATCCTGTTCTTTTATAGTTTCTGTTTTAAAAATTTTGTGTTTTCATTTATTTCAAATGTTCAGCCTTTATCTTATGGAACATAGCTGTAATAGCTGCTTTAAAATTTCTGAAAACACACCAACATGTGGGTCATCTCCATGTTGATTATTATTTGTCTTTTCCTTTGAGAACTGGCCACAATTTCCTGGTTCTTCATGTGTCAAATAATTATGGATTGTGTCCCGGACATTTATTCTGATACTGTGTTATGAGACTGAGTTCTGTTGATTGATATTCTCTGGAGAATTTTTGTTTTTGTCTTAGTAGAAAACCAAACTTCAGATTTCAAAAATTCTTTCTCACTTTATGTCAATGGTGGTTGAGATGTCAGTTCAGTTTTCAAGACCTTTGTTAGGGTGTTTTAGTTCTATCCCATGTCCTGCTCAGGGGTTACTGTAATGCTCAGGGACTGGTATGAGACTTGGGTAGTGGTTTATATTATAGTTCAGTTCTCAGAGCATTTTCTGTGCATACGTAGTGTGAGCCCAGGGCTTGTACCAATTCGTGTACTGAGTTAGGAAATCCCGTTCTTTTGCTTATTCCTCTTCAGTATTTTTCCTGTGCTTTTTGGTCCTCAGACTCCCTTTTTCTCACTCTTCTACCTAGAAAAATGGTGTTTTTCCTAGGAGTTTTAGATTACTACACCATCATTGCGACAGTTCTAAACCATAAGAGAAAACGGAAGAAAATAAAACAACAAAACAGGAAAAAACCCTGCTTAAATTATTTAAGTTTTTAACTCCTCTCCACAATCTACTTGCTTTTGTTTACTTTTTAGAATCCTCAGTTAGTTGCTCTTTTTCTGTGTTGTCTAGAGTTTTCATCCTAATCAGTGTGAAAGAGAGAGGCTATAGTGACCTTATTTCATCCCAGTCAGCACTTGCAAGTTCTTCTTTATATTTGTTTGTTTACCTTTCTGATAATACTTAAATAGCAGCAGCACAGGATATTTAGTTTTCAAACTTCTACCAGCTTTAGTAAAGTAAATTTTAAAAATTGTTATAATAGGGCTGGGAATATAGCTCAGTTGGTAGAGTGCTTGCCTCACATGCACAAGGCCCTGGATTCAATCCCCAGCACCACCAAAAAAAAAAAAAAAAAAGTTATAATAAAAATTTGATGGGAAACTTTATGACTTTTATTGTCTTAGTCACTCTATTCTGATCCTGATCAACCTATGATAATGATTTTCAGAGTATTTTTAATTGATCAAACTTAGAATTTTTATTTATTTATTTTTTATTAATTTTCACAGTGCTGGGGACTGAACCCAGGTCCTTGCACATACTAGGCAAGTGCTCTACCACTGAACTATATTCCTACCTCTTTTTATGTTAAGACAGGATTTTGCTAAGTTGCCTGGCCTGGCCCTTTTAATCCTCTTGCTTTAGCCTCTTGAGCAGCTGAAATTACAAGTGATTGCCACCACACCTGGATCAAACGTGGACTTTTTTGTGGGTTTTTTTTTTTCCCCCATACCAGGGACACTTAACTGGACCACATCCCCAGCCCTTTTTTGTATTTTATTTAGAAACAGTTCTCGCTGAGTTGCTTAGGGCCTTGCTAAGTTGCTGAGGCTGGCTTTGAACTCTTGATCCTCCTGCTTCAGCCTCCCAAGTCACTAGGATTTCAAACATGGACTTTTAAAGGACCTAAATCATTCTAGCCAAGTGATCCTTTGATCTCAAGGGAGTTGTCTTTATTTCTAAGAGTTTGGAGTAGATTTTTTAAAAATTTTCTTTTGATTTTATGATAGTGGAGTATTTTCCTTTATTTGGGAAAGAATAGGTGTACTTTATCTTGTAGCTAAGCTGATAATTAAAGATTCCATGTGAAATTTTTCTGTTTTTCTCCTAGCTCCCAAGCCAGAACAGAGGACTCCAAACTCCAGGAATTTGTTTGGAGTATTTATATATTTCTTACCCCATATTCTGTTCTTTTCCTTTGTTTGTTTTAGCAAATTAGAAATTTTGAGTCTAGTGGATAGTGGTTACATCTACTAAAAGATAATTTCTCTTACTTTAGGCAATTCCAAGCTCGAGTATCACGACAAACTCTTTTAGCACTTGAAAAAGAAGAGGAGGAGGAAGTTTTTGGACCTTCAGTACCACAACGAAGTACACTAGCTGAACTCAAAAGCAAAGGGAAAAAGACAGCAAGAGCTCCAATCAACCGTGTAGGAGGTGCTCTCAAGGGTAAGTTTGTTAAATGTTATTTTGGAAAACCTTTAGTCTCTTGTGGTAGGTAAATTAAGTAAGAAGATAATGCATAATTATATACATGCACACTGTCCTAGTTTTTCTGAGTACGAGGTAGCAAATACAAGGAAGTCAAAGGAGAGCTAATATTATAATGTTCAATAAAATAAATAGAAGCATTTTTGTGTATCAGTTAATAAAGTCCTGATATTTAAGGAGCATCATTTTCTGAGTAAGAGTTATTAGTTGAAAGAAGTAGTAATATAGCAAATGTTGTCAAAGTAAAGCTTATATGCACCGAAACTTCAGAGAATGATATTTACATCATTAAGAATCCTTTCTTTGTAGACTTTTAGGCCAAAATTGAATACTTTTTATATACCCGAGATGATCAGCAAGTTGTTTTTTTTTTTCCTTTTTAATCAACAATGACTTTTTTAGAGCAGTTTTAAAAGTCACAGGAAAATTGACCAGAAAGTACTGAAAGTAAGCTTTCATAAACCAAATTTAAAATAGTTAAACATGTAAGCCAGACTATTATTTGGTCTTTAATCCCATTCCTGATATTAATTTATTAATAATCAGGATGTTGGTCAGAGATCCTAGAATTAGGATATAGAGCGTGTGTAGTGCCAAAAATATATTTCGTCAGATTATGGTGAAATATAATGTGCCAATAAAAAAACATTGGGGGGGGGACCAGTGAAGCTTAAAGTAATAACTAGTCTTACAATAGCAATCTCAAATAAATGAGCTGCATTTGTGTCCTCTAGTAAATCTTGGCTGATTATTACTGAGAGAAAATGGAGAGCTGAAAAATGAAGAATTGGAATAGTTTTCTTTTGGAGTACCAGGAATAGTTTTTGAAAACTAGACAGTGTTAAAATGATGCCTCAGGAAAATGTAGAATTTCTTTCTTCTTTTTTTTTTTTTTTTGTACTATAAATAAAAGATTAGAAGTTGTAGGAAGGAGGGGAAAATAGGGCAATGATAAGTAACAAAAACAGAGTGGATAAAACTGTTACTAATTTAATTTATTAAGGTTTTTTGAAATAATTGGTTTTTTAGCCAGACATGGTGGCGAATACCTGTAATACCACCTACCTGGGAGTCTGAGACAGGAGGATTGCAAGTTCAGATCTAGCCTTAGCAACTTAGCAAAGGCTTCCAGCAGCAACTCAGACCCTGTCTCAAAACATAAAAAGGATTGGGGATATGGCTCAGTTTCTAAGCACCCCTGGGTTCAGTCACCCCTGGGATTGAACTCAGGGGTACTTTATTACTGAGATACAGTAATCCTAGCCCTTTTTTAAAGTTTTATTTTGAGATAGGGTCTTGCTAAGTTTCCCAGGTTGGCCTTGAATTTACAATACCTCCTGACTCAGCCTCCAAAATTGCTGGGATAATAGACTTATGTCACTGTACCTGGCTAAAATAATTACTTTTTAAAAAAATCTTCTTTTGATTCTATGATAGTAGAGTATTTTCCTTGATTTGGGAAATAGGTATACCTTATTTTGTAGCTAAGCTGATATTTAAAGATTCCTTGTGAAGTTTTTCTATTTTTCACCTAGCTCCAAGCCAGAACAGAGGATTCCAAACTCCAGTTCCTCAGCAGATGCAAAATAATTGTAGAATTACTGTTTTTGATGAAAATGCTGATCAGGCTTCTAGAGCAGAGTTGTTTAAGCCCATGATCCAGCCATGGATGGCACCACCTGTCCCCAGAGCTAAAGAGAATGAACTACATGCAGGCCCTTGGAACACAGACAGGCCCTTGGAATACAGGGTAAGGACTCATAGATCAAATGTATATGCTAACATAACATAGACTTCAGGTTTATAATAGAGGAGTATTTTTAGCATCTCTTAATTCCTCTTGAATATTTAAGTAGAATCTGCATATTTTTTTGGCAGAATGTAAAAAGTATGGTAATTTTTTTTTTTTTTTTTTATCTCCAGTCTCATGGCAGTATAGCTTCTGTGACAACTGTACCCCCTGTTGTTCCCAGTTTTACTCCATATGTGGAAGAGACTGCACAACAGCCAGTTATGTGAGTATGGTTTCCAGATACTTTGAAGTGGAAATGATTAAGGGTGGGCAGAGACACCTATCCTAGTTCAAATCCTCAGCATTTTCTTTGTGAAAATGAAAATAGACAAAGTTTTGTGTATACCTTTTGTTTATACTACCTTGAATATATTAGGGCTAAAAAACTCTCAGTAATATTTTTATTAGGGTATAAACATCAGGTTGATTTATGTTTACATTGTTATAATGAGGGTAATCACTGTTATTTTAGTGAGAGATTATTTGTTATTGATTATAATTGGAAATTGTGGTAATTGTACTTTTTATCCTGCTTTTTCCTTCTGCATATATTTTTTTCCCTTCTTCCTAACCCTTAGCATTTCTTTTGTAAGAAGAAACATGATAGGTGATGGATATAATCAAGTCAGTCCAAGATCTAGTCCAATACTTAGCATTGTTGAATCCTAATGCTTAGTTCAATTCTGTGTAAAAGGTTCCTTATAACTAATTTATAATTGCCATTTCATACTAGGTACCATAGAAATGCAGAAATAAGTTTTGTACCATATTCTGCCTAATGAAGAGTCATGATACAGGAAACTTTTTTAAGAAATTCATGTGAGCCTTTATAGAAATTGATGACATACATTTTTGGATGTTTAATTTTTCTAATGTTTCAAGTTACTTTGTAGAAACATGAATTATGTCAAAGTTAATAATGGTATAGAAAATGTTAAACTTTATTTAAATTCTTTTTCTTTGGTGTCTTATTGGACCTAACTACATGGCTTTTCTTTTTTTCTTTTTCACTAGTTTGTGTGTGTGTGTGTGTGTGTGTGTGTGGTGCTGGGGATCACACTCAGGTTCTTGTGCATACTAGTCAACCATTTTGCCATTGAGCTGCATACAGCCCCTTTTTTTTTTTAAATAATTTTTTTTAGTTGTAGATGGACACAATACCTTTTTATTTATTTTTATGTGGTGCTGGGGATCAAACTCAGTGCCTCATGCATGCTAGGCAAGCGCCCTATCACTGAGCCACAGCCCCTTTTTTTGAAATATATTTTGAGATAGGATATATTTTGAGATGGGATAAATGGGCATGATGTATACCATCATGCCCATTTATCTTTAAGTAAGTAAGTGTGTGTGTGTGTGTGTGTGTGTGTGAGAGAGAGAGAGAGAGAGAGACTGAGGATTAAATCCAGGGGCAGTTAACCACTGAGCCACATCCCCAGCCATTTTGAAACAGGGTTTTGCTGAGTTACTGAGGGTCTCCCTAAGTTGCTAAGACTGACCTGACCTCTTGGAATCCTCCTGCCTCAGCCTCACAAGACTCTATAATTACAGGCCTGAACCACCATGCCCAACTAATTTTAATTCTTCTGCATTCAAATTTAGCAATCTTCTTTGTGAGTTTTGAGTCCTTATCATTCTTTGCTGGGATTTCTGCAACTTTTTTTTTTTTTTAGAGAGAGAGAGAGAGAATTTTAGTGTTTATTTTTTAGTTTTTGGTGGACACAACATCTTTGTATGTGGTGCTGAGGATCGAACCCGGGTCACACGCATGCCAGGCGGGCGCGCTACCGCTTGAGCCACATCCCTAGCCCAGATTTCTGCAACTTAACTATATCAGTTAGCTTTCTTTTTTTTTTTTTTTTAAATATTTATTTATTTATTTATTTTAGTTCTCGGCAGACACAACATCTTTGTATGTGGTGCTGAGGATCGAACCCGGGCCGCACGCATGCCAGGCGAGCGTGCTACCGCTTGAGCCACATCCCCAGCCCCTATCAGTTAGCTTTCTAACACTATACCATACATGGAGACAATCAGCTTATAAAAAGAAAAGGTTTATTTTGGCTCACAGTTTTGCAAGTTTCTGCCCATAACAGATAGGCCCTGGTGCTTTGGGCCTGTTGCAAGTCAGCACATTATGGTGTAAGAGAGTGGCAGAGAGGAAGGAACTGGGATCCCATTATCCTCTTCAAGGGCACACTCCTGATGAACTGAAAATTTCCCACTAGGCCCCACCTCCTAAAGATTCTGCCACCTCTCAACAGTGCCGTGTACCCAGGACCAAACTTTTAACACATGAGTTTTAGGGAGACACTTATCCAAATCATAGCAGTAACTAAAATCCCAATCTTTGTCTTATTCCTCTCTACCCATTCTCTCTATGCTGTTAAAGTTCTATAGTGTGTATTTGATCATGTTGTTTCCCTGATCAGAATCTCTTACTAGCTCCCCATAACTTTTGGAATGAAACCCCAAATCAGCATTCATTATATAATTATAAACAAAAAACCCACAATAGTTTTGTTTGATAATAACTTAATATATCAGTGGTTTATACCTTTTCTAAACTGAAATAGCTATTCAAAAATGAGTTGACATTATATAATAAATTTTTTTTTAAATTTTTTATTGTTGGCTGTTCAAAACATTACATAGTTCTTGATATATCATATTTCACACTTTGATTCAAGTGGGTTATGAGCTCCCATTTTTACCCCATATACAGATTGCAGAATCACATCAGTTACACATCCATTGATTTACATATTGCCATACTAGTGTCTGTTGTGTTCTGCTGCCTTTCCTATCCTCTACTATCCCCCCTCCCCTCCCCTCCCCTCTTCTCTCTCTGCCCCCTCTACTGACATTCATTTGTCCCCTTTGTATTATTTTTCCCTTTCCCCTCACTTCCTCTTGTATGTACTTTTGTATAACTCTGAGGGTCTCCTTCCATTTCCATGCAATTTCCCTTCTCTCTCCCTTTCCCTCCCACCTCTCATCCCTGTTTAATGTTAATCTTCTTCTCATGCTCTTTGTCCCTACTCTGTTCTTAGTTACTCTCCTTATATCAAAGAAGACATTTGGCATTTGTTTTTTAGGGATTGGCTAGCTTCACTTAGCATAATCTGCTATATAATAAATTTTAATGCTAGTCAGAGAACTTTGTTTCAAACCAAATTCAAATCTTGTTTTAAGTTATTTTTCAATTCATACTTCTAAAAATTATAAAAACCTCATTTACAAAACCCTTCATGATTTAATCTCTGCTAACATCTCCAGTTTTCCCCTCCTATAAGTGGTCACACTAGACTGTACACTCCTGACTTGTAGAATTGTTTTATAATTAGCATGTACAAGGCCACCATACCCCTCTCCCCTGTGGCTAATTCTTTTTCCTCCTAGGACTGTTTTAGATGTTATACCCTTGGGCTGGGGATGTGACTCAAGCAGTATCGCTTGCCTGGCATGTGTGGGGCCCGGGTTTGATCCTCAGCACCACATATAAACAAAGATGTTGTGTCCGCCGAGAACTGAAAAATAAATATTAAAAAAAAAATTCTCTCTCTCTCTCTTAAAAAAAAAAATTCTAGATGTTATACCCTTCAAGAAAACTCTTGTGAAGCATTTCCTTTCATCTAAATGTTTATTGAATGGTTGGATGTATGAAGTTACAAAACAGTACTACTGGAAATATAATTCAGTTCTAGAGATTTAATTGCAAGAATTAGTTAAATACCAATACCTGTTTTATTTTCTTAATTTTATTTAAAATTAAGTTTAGTTTCTCCTATTGACTTTTTTCTTCCTTTTTTTTTTTTTTTTTTTTTTTTGAGACAGGGTTTTTCTAAGTTGCTTAGAACCTTTTAAATTGCTGAGGCTGGTAGTCCTCCTGCCTCAGCCTCCCAAGCCTCTGGGATTACAAATTTTTTCTTTTAATAAACTTTTAACTTTTGGAATGATTTTAGATTTACAGAAAGGAGCAAAGATAATGCAGAAAATTTCTGTATCCCCTTCATCTAATTTTCCTTTCTATTAACATTTTACAAAGCCATGGTTTGTTAGAACTAAGAAATTGACATTGGTATAATATTATCACCTAAACTCCAGAAAAGTCTTCAGATCTCAATAGTTTTTTTTCCAGTTACATCCTTTTCCTGTTTCTGATATCAATCCAGGATACTACATTGCATTTAGGAAACTGACTTTTCTTTGACTATTATTCCCCTTAATTTTTTATTGTATGAATTGAAAAATATAGAATACAATTTGATTTAAACCAAATCCAAATGTTGAAAAGTTTTCTGGATAGGTTTAAAATTTATATAATCAATTCTTTTTGTATACCTGTTTCAGTTTTGGAAACATAAACCACTTATATAAGAAGTTGTTATGAAACAGAAAAGTGTTGTGGGGTTTTTGCTACAATATTATATAAAATCAATTTTTTGATCACAGTTAATTTAATGGCAGATCCAAGACTAGAATTCATGTTTCCTGACTGCTTGTTCTTTAGAACTACACATTCTTTTCAATATTCTGTATCCTACATAAAGCTTCTAGTCTGATTCCCTACTCCTTTAAGTTTTTACTCTTTAAGTTATTTTAAAAAAATTTTTTTTGGTACTGGTGATTGAGCCCAGGGGTGCTTAGCTACTGAGCCATATCTCTAGACCTTTTTTATATTTTATTTAGAGACAGGGTCTCTATAGTTACTGAGGCTGGCTTTGAACTTGACAGTCCTCCTGCTTCAACCTCTGGAGTGCTGGGATTACAGGTGTGAGCCACCATACCAGGCTTATACTTTATTTTAATAATTAGTATTTAATTTATTCTTTTTTTGTTTTTCAGGGCTGGGGATTAAAGGGCCTTGCACATGCTAAGTACAGATTCTACCAAAAAGCTAAACCTCCAACTCCTTTGTATTTTAATCTTGTGAAAGGACTATGTGATATAACAGAAAAGGAACAAAGATTACCAAAATTGTGTGACTACAAAATAATGAATAGGACCTCTGTAAATATCTAGTTACTTTATCTTGCCTTTTTTTTTTTTTTTTTTCTTTTTGGTTCTGGGAATCAAACACAGAGTCTCACTGATGATAGGCAAGCATTCTACCACTGATTTATGCCTAAGCCCCCATCTCGCCTTTGGGGTTTTGTTTTGTTTTTCCCCAGTGCTAGGGATTGGACCCACGGCCTCTTGAATGCTAGTCAAGTGCTCTAC